GCTAATGTTAAGAAGAAGGATGTTTCATTCTGGCACCTTCCGTTATTCTTACAATCAATATAAAATTGGGCAAAGTTGAAATTGAATTTTTTTCTAGCTCTAAAATGATTACACTGAGTATCAGTTGAATTTCTCAGATTACAGAACATTACACCATTTACTGGTAAAGTGTTACGAGTTAATTTCTTTTTGGAATTAAACCCAAATGTAAAAAAAGAAAGAAAAAATGCAGTTAAAGAAAAAGCAATGTTGTCATGTCATCTTTTATGGCTTTTTTAACCACCTGTGACTGAATATGATAAGAAAGATGTACAGCCAGATGCTAATTCATCTTCATATCCTCATATGTTTGGCTATGATTGCTCCTGTATCCTGAATAACCCTCTCTAATAGGATCTATTCCTTCCTCTTCACGGCTTTACAGGAAAAGCGTTTCACAAACCATCAGCTTCCTGAATGAACTACAAAAATGAGACAAGCTCCACCTTAACTGGAAATGCTGCACATTTTTAGACTGATATATTAAAAAAGGATTATATTCAGATGGCTTTTTTTCATGAACAAACATGAAGGTGGTTGCACCAACAACTGAACTTATTTTCTACTAACATTGGCAAAAATTAACTTCGGTCTCAAACAAATTAAAGGACTCCTTGCAAAGTCCCTTGTTAAATTGGTGTAATAACACACTGCCAAATCAATTAGGCCTGCAGCCAGAGACTTACTCAACCAGACAGTAACAAAGAAGCAGCAGTGACGAGCCAGGTGCTGCAGAAGCAAATTCGCAGTGCATCAATAAAAACACAGCAGAGGGCTCGCACTTTACTAGAGAAACAAGTCAATAATCACTGTCCCCTTACTCATAATGCTGACTTCAGCCTTGCTGTATAAGAGGGAAAAATAAACTGCTCTATTGATTTCCCAATAAAAAAGGAGAATGCAGATTGCTTAGAATACCACCCAGAGGAAAAGAAAGGTTTAAAATAAAACAAATCAAACAATAGTCAAACTGTATGAATGAAGGCAATTTAAAGGCTTATAATTATTTCTGTGGTCAAGGGGTTACATCCGACCTGACATGTAATTTAACGCAGCGGTGCTAACTGTACAGAAGTAATGACTGAAAAATATCAGTTTCCATAAAAAATRACACCACAAGACAACATCACGGGTCGTGACTGGTTGCAAAAAAATGACGAGAAGAGACACTACCCCAATGTTAAAAAAAGAAACCTGTTTTGCACCTCTTAAAATTTACCAYGAGGCACATGAAACATTTCCACAATCAATCTGAAAGGGCATTCAGAGGAAAAGTCAGTGTGCTCCATCCTCTGCACCACCAACAGAAGTGCCTCATTGTTGACAGTTCTCATTTGAGTGGTGCCCATGGGACCATCCTGAAAGACGTACACAAACACAGATGGGCCCTTGTGCTATCCAGACTTAAAAGCACTTCTTGAGCATGTTCACTGGCTTCGTTATCAATACTGGCAGGAGTTTTGGAAATCTGGAGGCAGCAGAATGCTTTGCAGCCCGTTGTGTGACCCTGGCACAGTTTCACGCTGCAGACGAACACACGACCAGAGATAAAGCAAGCCTGTTTCTCTTGACTCATCTGGATTCTAACTGCCGTTCAGTCAGGTCAGATGCTGGTAAAGAATGCCTTCCCAGCACGCCTTTCTGGAATAAATTCAGGAGATTAGAACAATGAAAAATATTATAAAATCTAGAGAAGACCCAATCTGATTGCAAGTATCGAATCAAAGTGCCGATCAATTCATTTTTCAGTGGTATCAGTGTAGCTTTTCTCCATCCCTGTGCTGCGTCAGCTGGATATCTTTTAAAGAGGTGARTGACAGAAATTGTGTCCATTTACTTTGTTAACAATGCTGGTTATATTTCAAAAGACMAAAAGGGATCACAGAGCAGATGACTGAATTTATTGCATTCTGGAGTAGGGATGCGCATCACTATCACGATCATGATCATACAGATACCGCTCGACCAACAATCTCACCTCCCAATTTAGAAACACAAATGGCAACAAGCAGGAAATCAATATTTAACGTTATTATCGGCTCAGTTTTACTTATCGGACCAATAAAGATATATGGTAAATGGTTTGAACTTAYACAGCGCCTTATCAAGTCCACTTGGACCCCAAGGCGCTTTACACTTCAGACGCTCACCCATGCACACACACACATTCACACACTATCTGCTAAAAAACAAAAGACCAATATCTTCCGGTGTTAATGTCAATATATYGTGCATTCCTACTCTGACTAACCCATTGCTGTGGTGGAGAAAGTAGGGTTTTGTTGTTTGAGGCTACAGCCTCTTCCACCCGCAACACAACACACCCAACACAGGACTTCTAAGTTGTATAAAAAAAGGTTTGCCATTACTTGACCCCTATCCGCACCAATAAATAAAACAAGTTCAGGACCAAACTGAACACAGGTGTTTTTATTGCAACAAAAAGAGGTGTCAAACACAAAATGGTCTTGATTTTAATGTTAATGTACTATTGGTATGTAATCCGTGTTTGAAAACATGCACAATAATGCATACATTTGATTTAGACTATGTATTAGACAATCTCTATATTGTAAATAACTCATATCGATATCACATACATCCCTACTTCATGAAAAAAAGTTTAAAATCGTGTAAAGTTTTAACCCTAAAGCAATATTTCTTAGGGGTGTWAGAAAATATYGATACACTGAAATATCGYGATATTTCATTTCCCAATACTGTATCGATATTCTAAAGTCCTGTATTGATTTTTTTTTATTAAGGTTTAAAATGTCAACTTTCCTGCCAGCCGTTCATTTTTATGTTGTAGTTCARCCTCTGACCACTAGTTGGCAGCAGTGAGCCAGCCATTTGGCTACTCTACCTCTCGAGGTAGAGGCTATTGTTAAGTGTTGGGTGACCATATTGTAAATTAATATTAAAAACTAAAAGCTGCAAAAAATATATTTTTAAACTACTTATTGTCAAATTTAGTCTAATAATTGAAAACATGGATGAAATAAGAAATATGAAACAAATAAAATACATACAAAGCAGAACACAGCTAAATGTATCAAAATATATCTCTGTAAAATTTGAATTTTCTGAGACAAAGAATTTTGGTTTTTCATTTTTTTTCCCCAGTAAGATGTTTTTATTTAATAGAATTTTTGGACAAAAAAATCGCAATATATCGCCTTGCTTATAGTATCGCAATATATCGGGATATATCGTATCGTGACCCCTCTGTCATGATATGTATCGTATCGCCAAATTCTTGCCAATACACAGCCCTAAATTTCTTGCAATTACAGCACACGATGAAACCACATTTACTTAAACTACTTCAGCCTGTCATGAATKGAAATGATGAGTAAAACATGGGTGGATGCAAAACAAGGTATTAATCAGACCAAAACTATGCTTAATCTTTGACAGAGGAGGTCAAGGATCGAACTTCCTCCTTTCAAAGCCATTATGTCATATCTAAGTGCAATTGAGAGCTGTAAAAAGCAAGCAGAGATGAGGACGGTGTCCCGTGTTGCTGTGGCAACGCGACAACTGTTGCCATAAACACTGCAGGTAGAAAGAAAGCAAGCTCATCAAAGTTTGTCAGAACTGGGTTTGTCAGCTAGTTTTAAAGGGGTAAATGAGTTACATGAAGGTGGATCTGTACAGAAAACAACACTCTGTGGCAGTTCATTTTATAGAACAGCCAGATTTCAAAATATGACAGCGCCTCAACAGATATGACACCCCCATGTGAGAACATGCGCCAGTTGCCATCGGCTGTTTACAAAGCCACAGCTCAAATGTGCCCAAGGCAACCTGCATGCCTTCCATTGTGTCCCATGACTGTGTTTAATGTAGCCAAGTGAGAACACCGTCGTCAATAATACATGTAGACATGGCGTACACCAGTGGATAACAAAAAACATGGAGACAGACACCGCGCCTCCACACAGGAAAAACACACGTTGCAAACAATTCTGGCTGTCCAAACCTAAAATGGAAAGGCTGAGATGGAAAAGTTGGCCAGGACTGTAATCCTGCCAGGCCTCAGGATGATGTAACATCTCCTGCAGGCTGTGAAAGGTGCTCAAATAAATGGTTAGCTTATTCACATTTGTTCTGCCAGAATAAAAACCCTCTTTAAATGTTTTTTTTTTTCTTCCTGAGGGGTGTTTTTCCACTATAAAAGTTAACTTAAACCTTTGCTGTTCTGGTCCCAACACACCTCTGACAACCTCTCTTTCTTTCAATGCAGGACATACTCAAAAAAACAGCCCCCTCTCCAGGATATCCCCCCTCTCCATTTACCAGTTTCCCGCCCTGGAAATGAACACACTGCAAAAAGAAAAACAGCCATTCACATGATCCCTCCACTTTCATCATGATCACTACTCAGCCAAAGATGCATGTCAAACATAAAAAGGTTTTATGTTTCAGAGTTGATAGTCTTTAACATTTGATCAACTATTCATACAATAGTGATTTAATTCCTAAAAGCAGTTTATTCACAACAGACTGAAATGTTTGTCTTTTTGAAAACTGGTAMGAATTTTTGCACTGGTTTAGTAAGTTTCACTTACATTATTTTTAAAAGTCTATCACTTTAGGACATCATGCATCAGYTCAAATAATGGTTAAAAATGCTACTTTAGTTTATGTGCTCTGACCACATCGAGCTCGGTTTTCAGGATCAGGCCAAAGCTGCAAGGAAAAGTTGCATCCGTCCTGCTTGTGACACTGCAGAASAAGACCACAACCCAAAAAATAAACTTAGAGAAAAATAAATAAATAAACCTCTAATGTATCCATCTGTGCAAACTAATTAGCCTAACATATGAAATGGCTAGGTCGCTTACAAAAAAAAGGTGTCCAGAAAACGGTTATGAGGGCAAAATAAAGGTAAATGAAAACCGTATTATAGGTTGTAGCAAATAATGATAAATAAAAAGGCTGAACTGCGGTCTTACCTTGACAAAAAGCTCGATAACGGGTTCGCTATCCGCCTTTATCCCATTCTGTGGAACCGACAGCGACATTGTGGCTACTTTCAAAGTTTCTGGACAAAAGATGAGTTTTTTCTCTCTTTCTTGCTACCACGCCCGACAAAGCTTGGTTCTTTTCTCCACTACCGCTTTTTTTTTTTTTTTTTTAGCACTAAAACCTCGTGGATATCTTTTCCTCCCGATGAAGGAGGAGGAGCGGCTGTTGGCAGACAAAAGCGAACAATGAGGCGGCACCGCGGTCTTCTCAAAATAACTGTTTGAATCCTGAATGATGTCTGAAAAGCTAGCTAGGCTACAAAATGCATCTTTGAAGCGCGAGGCTCAATCTTTCTCTCTGCTCCTCATGCAGGATGACGACGTCGGGAAGAAGTTACGGGAATATTTAACGGCGTGATGTCAGCGGCTGAGCAAACGTTCAGTTAATGTGGGAGGGGTCGAGGAGGGAGTCTCCTCGGTCTGGTTGAGGATGCTCATAGAACCACATGGTGGCTCCAGAGAAGCCTTGCGCAATCGGTTTTTACTATAAATAATCCAATTTGTCACTGATTGAAGGCATCCTCAGATGTCTCTCGCCACTTCTAGCCGGATCATGCGCCGGCAGAACAGTAAGGAGCGGAGCCATTAATMTTTCGTCTAATTACACCAATTCTTGCACAATTTTTTATGTTTGTTGAAACGTAAACATAAAAATAAAAACAAATAACACTGATCCTAAAAAAAAGTTTTAATTCTGAAAAGATGACAAGACAAGGGCCATGGTTTCTAAATACAAAATCATACACTAAAGCAGTCCCACAAAAACAGCTCAGAACATGGATATCAACAAAAATTGCATATCAATTGGTTTAGAAAAAAATAAAATAAACGGTTCACTCTTAAACGCTTTATTCTTCAAACAAGACAATTTCAAAGTTGGAAAAAAGCAGGTTAAATGATGCCAAACACCTCCCTCAAGTCAGATTATGAAACGGGACATTTTTGTTACAGCTGCTAGGTGTACATAACTGACAGTTTCCACAAGGAAAAGGCGTTGGTAACAGCATGTTACCTTAAGGTGTTTTTTCTTTACGCTCTTCACAAGGTCAGTGGTTCATGCACACTAGAGACGATGCACATGCGATCATTTCTCTATGGAATCTACTGTACATAGACAAATATATCATTAACCTGCCCAACTCAAACTTCTGAAATTAAATATTTTCCCACTTAAGAATTTCAAAATATTAACACAAGCTTCTTTACAGTTTAGATAATAAACTATCTGACAAATGAAGTTAGGGAACTCTCCAGAATGTACCAAACCAGTAAAAAGAAACAAGACAAATCAGAAATTTGTATGCTGAACCGGGTCGATAACAAACAGCAAAAGTAATAGGAAAAATCATTAGCCTCTTGTTCTCATGACATCTGCGATGGAGACATCTGGGCCTTCCTCATTGAGCGCAGGGCCTTTTCTCGAAGGTGCTTTTCCAGATCATCCAAACCATCGTCAGCTTCACTCTCTGAATCCTTAATAAAAGAAAAAAAAGATCTTATTACATTTAGAAACCTAAATACAGTGATACTAAACACTGAAGACATATTTAACCAGTATGATTTCATCATCTGCCTTAATTAACCACTAGAGTTTAGCATGCACTCATGAGTATTCAGAATGGTAAGGTGTGGGGGAAAAAATTACTACTAAATATTAATACCCTGTCTGCCTCTGACTACCTTTCTTGATCCACCGTCCTCCTCTGCACCCCGGTTCTCTTGAGTCTCAGTCACGCTGCTGTTTTTTTCCTTTTTATGCTTCTTGTGCTTTTTGTGTTTTTTCTCTTTCTTGTGTTTCTTTTCCTTCTTCTTCTTCTTTTTCTTTCCACCACCTTCAACATCCGAAGTCTGCAAACAAACACATTTTTTTGTAAAAATGATGCTACTAGTTATGTGTAAATATAAATATAAACGGTGTTCACAGTTAACTTGTTAAATGATGATTATGCCACAACAGAATTTGGTGAGATTTCTTGTGTCTTTACAGAAGTACCGTATTTTTCGGACTATAAGCCGCRACTTTTTTCCTGAACTTTGAACCATGCGGCTTATAGACCGGTRCRGCTTATACATGGATTTATTTCTTCAGCCACCAGGGGGCTCTTATGCTCCATTTGCTTCAACCACTCGCTTCAAAAAAAAAGAAAAGAAAAAAAAAAGYGATCGCTTCCAGAGCCGACTGTTGTACCAGGAAGCAGCGATTTAAAGATAGTCAATGGCCAAAAACTCATAAAAGGGGATAAAACAGACATTTTTCACGGTGGAATCTGACTGATAAAAACTTTGGAGCTTAATCCAGGACCAGTTTGTGGATAAACGTCGAGTGAAGAGCCGCGGACTTTTTTTTTTCCTCATTGCACTCCCCGGGGAAGGAATCCCATGCAGTGACGTATGCTGGAGCAGGAGGGCTTTCCCACCACAGCTTCAGAGCCAGCAATACCCCGGGAGCACAGCGACACGGAAAGCAACACTGAACAGATACCGCTGTGTGACACAGCTTTTCTCAGCTTGTTTGACTCTGACACTGAAGAGGAGGACGATGGTTTCAGTGTGCTGGAGGACGATGAATGAGACGTTTTGTTGGACCAGAAACTGTTAAAGAAAACTACCAAAATAAGGTCAGTTAAATGAACCGTATTCCTCCGAACTTGAATTCCTAAAGGTTTGCTTTTTATGTTTTGATGTTGAATTCACTTTTTTGACGGCAAATTTGGGTGTACTGTTTTTTGTTTTGTTTAATGTTGGGGGTGCGGCTTATAGTCCGGTGCGGCTTATGGTCCGAAAAATACGGTATGTAGATTTATACAAATCTCCAGTAACAAAATCAGTGAAGAAATGTAAAAATGACCCATATTGGCTACAATCTTAACACTTCACTTGATGAACATCGTTTTATAATAAAGAACTTTTTTTATTGATTTCTTTTTTCTTATCATACAATAAATTATGGTGCAAATTTGACAACAAGTTCAAACCTTAGCTGGAGACTGACTGCCAGAACCACTATTGACTTTTTTGACTGGGGGTGGAGGAGAACCACTGGCAGAACGAGTAGGAGATGGGGAGGCAGATGCAGGGGCTGGACGTTTCTGAGCAGCTGGTTGAGGGGAAACTGATCTGGACCTGGAGGATGCTCTCCTCATATACTTAGGGCTTGGTGAGGTTCTGTTGAAAGATTAGGAATAGTATTAAAACATTCAAACATGACTAAACATTCTTCCAAAGGCTTGTGTTTTGTTTACCTTTTGTTGCGTGGCTCTGGAGTGCGAGACACCCTGCGGATGAGCTTACTGCTGTGTGAAGGGGACTGTTGTCTCCTCTGGTTAGATGGAGACATAGTGGAGGAAGCAAAGCGCCCCTGGGGACTAGTGGATCGCCTAACAGCATGGCTGCGGTTTGCAGGTGATGGAGAGAGACGCCTGGCACCTGCAATAGGGGATCGTGTATCCCTGCTTGGCCTGGTTGAGGACAGGATGGGGCTCCCCCTGTGTCTAGGTGGAGAACTAGAAGAAGGCGGAGAGCGTCTTCTTGGTGGGGGAGAGCTTCTGCGTTTAGGAGACCTAGAGGTGCGTCGTTTGGGACCTGGAGAAGAGCGTTTTGTGGGAGAACCTGATATCTTCCTTTTCTGTGGCGGTAAAGGTGAGGGGCTGTAGCGACGTTGGATAGGGGGAGAATAACGTCTGGGAGACAAAGATCTACGACGAGGTGGTGGTGAAGGAGACCTAGAAAAAAGCGTTTTGAAAATTAGTAATGTTATTTAAACCTTTCATAGCAAAACCCTAGAGCCAGAATATGACCATACCTGCGTCTAGGAGGAGAGGGAGATCTGCGTCGTCGTGGGGGAGAGGGTGAACGACGCCTGCGTCCAGGAGACGGGGATCGTCTTCTCCTGTAGGAATACAAAAGYGTTTGCTGAAGAACACATGAAAATAGAATCGAGTATTTACCCTTAATTTATACTAGATGTGGTTTCACTCCACTGYGCTTCTACCTCTGCAACCATTATAMTCAATGATAATATTTGCGAGGCAGCGGTGAGAGGACAGCAATCCACCAAAATTAGATTCGACCCTATTTTTGCCGGACGCCTGAGCTGCTCCGGAGTCAATCTACAAAGATCACATCRCACCGACAGGAAAAGGAACAAGCAAAACATGTTGAAATCTTAGCTATATTAATAAATACATGAATACATTTATACACAAATACTGACAAAATGTATCATTCTGTTTGGGAAGCGGATGGTAACATGCAGAATGCAGAATATGCAGACACACTAGAGATGTGCAATATATGCAATATACGGTAGAAACAATATGAAGTTGGCCTACGGTAGAATTTTACCCTCAACCTTCCTGTTGTCAGTTACGACAGAACGGTCGCTGTCTCCACGAGCAAGACAGAACGTATGACAGAAAAAAAAAATTGTTTATATATTGTTACCCAGAGAGATAAAAAAAAAGGATGTGGATGTTCGTTCGGTCATAAATCCATGTTGCTAATGTAACAGTCGGCTGCTGCTCTGATGATGAAGATGAGAGCGCAGCAGCTGATAAGTTCAACAGGCAGAAGCTCATTGTATGGCAGGCCAATTTGACATTTTTTTGGCTTCACCATATTTACATTCCTGTTATCTAAATTTGTTTTATGACTAGGACTATGTGCAGCTTAAGGTCCTGTCACACTATAACATTTTAGCCAACTTATGCCAACTTATGATGTTTTTTATGTCTAAATGACCAATTTTATTTGAAGTACTAGTTATAACATCTACTTTACTTTAATATCGTTGAAAATTTGAGAAATTTTTCAGTTTGTTGTTAAAACCGTTTTGCAATATATAGAAAACATTCTTTTGTACTTCTGTTCATTTGCACTACAGAAAAATGCTGGCTTTGATTATGATTAGTTTTCTGCAAAATAAATGCTCTAAAAATTACATTATCTTTGCTTTTCATGATAATTTTCTACCGCAATATATACCGTTACTGTGAAGGGATTCAATTTATAATGTGACAGGAATTTGAGATCATACCGCCCAGCCATAAGACACACATAATATACTTGGATTTTATTTTGAAATCAAAAGTTTCAAATAGACAACAGTGATGCAGTTTCAGCTRGGTTTAGAGTTCGTCTTTCGYWGAATGAATTCTTTTGCTCAGATTCCACATTTATCACTGGATTTATCACGCGAGCTCACATTTCCTGCACACGCCTCTGTGCTTTTGTACAGGAGTGGACCTGAGCGGAGGTAACGCTGTATAAATTGAGGTCTAAACAAACGGCTGCAAACTGCGCACCGCAGAACTGTTTCTAGTGTAAATTAGGGGATAATGCTTAGTTCGATATCTGACCTTGGGGAGGCTTCCCTATGTCGCCTACGAGGTGAGGGYGTACGGCTACGTCTCCTCCTGACTTCACCATTTCTGGCACCAGGACCTGTGTTTGGCCTCTTGGGCCCCTCATCTTCTGAAGAGGATGATCCTGAATCTGAAAACAAATCAAACAATAATCAACAACTGTTTTAAGGTGGCTCTTATCTGCACATTGGAAATAAAAGACACCAAGGTTTCGGTGTTAGAACACTTCTAAGGTTTAAGCGATGATGAAGACAAGATGACAGCCAACAGAGGGAGTTGGGAAAGGGTGAAGAAATTAGCATAAAAACATTTATTACCTGAAGAAGACTGTTGATTCTGTCTGCGATACTGACGTCGCTGCTGCACCGAATCCGCTGCTATCCCCTTTTCATTTTGGTCCTCCTCTGAAATGTAAACCATTAAGTTTCTGACMAGTGCCATGGAAGTTTGGTTTAATAATAAACAACAACAAAATGATCATATTTAAACATAACAAGTAAGCAGAAAGAGACATGTACCTGATGACCTGGGAGGGGAAACAGAGCCTCTGCCTCTTCTTGCTCGTGGAGACGGTGACCTTTTGTCCTTTGCCGCAGGGCTGATGGAAGTGTCCAGACGATGGACTTGYTTTCGAGGCGGTGTGGTAGAAATTCTCTTCACGGGTTTTTTAGGGGAGCGCGAACCAGAGGAGCTGCTGCCAGAGGGTGAAGCAGAACGAGAACGTCTCCTAGAATTTAATGATCAGAATTAAGGCACAAACACTTTTCACAGACACTACTAGTCGCACACATTTAGGTCAATTAAAGCAAAGAAAAAGGAAATAAAATAATAATATAGGATTCTACCCTTCACCTCACTGACCTGCGGACAGGAGAACGCCTGTGTCTGTGTCTGGAACCAGTGGGGCCACGCCTAGGGGGACTTCTTCGACGAGGTGACATTCTCCTTCTGGGACTTTGTCTTCTACGAGGTGAGTAAGACCTGATGTAAAAGAAGAGAGCAAACTTAGAAACCTAAACTCAAAGCCATTTCCTCCCATAGAAAAATGTTTCATTTTACAAAAACCTGAAAAAGACATTTTACACACATCACCTTGAACGGGAGCGTCGTCTGCGGGGGCGGGAATGAGAACGAGAGCGGGAACGGTGATGAGGTTTCTCTCTCCTCAGGTCTCGTTCACGAGATCTTGGTCTTTCTTCTTTCTTGGGAGGTTTTTCTGGGGACGTCTCTTTAACCTCAGAGACTGAGTCTGCAACTGCCGACTCTACAACCGCATCTCTGCAGAAGAAGAAGAAAATGTGTTTGGGGGTGAATAAAAAGTATTAACTCTGAATGTATGCTTTAGAAACAAAACCTCTTCAAAAACAAAAAGGAAAGATTGCACTAACTCAGTAGAAGATGCTTCTTGAATGACTGGTTCTGTTGGGCTTTTTCCGGACGTATCTGGTTCCACAAGCGGCTGTGTAACTCTCGTGGAAGACTGCAGCAAAGGTGGAGGAGGTGAGCTCTCAGCAACTGGACTGGGTTTGCGTCTTGGAGATCGCGATGGGCTACGTTTCCTTTCCCGCTTTACAGGTGATCTTCGCCGTGGTGATGGTGATCTCGTCTTCCGCCTGACCAAAGATAATAGTGCAAGGTCCAATAAACTGACATGGAAGCAAAATTTCAACTGGGCTTTTCACAACTCATGGTTTTAAATCAACACTGTCACCAAAACAAATGTTAAACAGCAGCATTAATACATTATATGCAACAATGTTAACAGGGTAAATAAAAAAATAAAATAATTTGTAATAATCAAATATACTAAAATCAAAATCCTACCTTCTAGGACTCTTTGACTGAGCCCTCTCTCTGGTGTCCTTTTCCTTTTTATCTTCATCCCCTTTTCTCTGGGAAGCAAGCTTCTCTTGTTCAATCTGCCAGACAAATAGTAGTTGTATTTAATACTTTACCAGAGAAATGCACATCCTTTTAGTTTGTAAAACATAATCTGTTCTTTTTATATACATGCTTATATCAAGACTTGTTCATATCAGTTAATTAGTATTTTCTGTTCAAGTTTCTTGTATTTTCTAAAACTACTTAAGTTATTATCACCTGTCTCTGTCKGATTTCCTCTTTCTTTTGTTCCAGAAACGCTGAGGGGATGCCAGCAATGTTCTCTTGGGCACTTAAAAGCAGGGGCCACAGGTCTTTCATGAACTCGCGGGCATTCTTTCCATTCAGGAACCCTGTCAGGTTGATCTGCATCATCTTGCTATCAGGGTGCTGCAACATACACACGAAGGGGGAGAGGGAAAACAAATGTCCATTGAAACAATTGAAAACATCAGKGTGAGGCAGGCAGGGTCCCACAAATGGGGCTCCCCACCTTCTAGCCATGTCTAAACTAAACCTGAGAAATTTTGTTATCCTTACCAAAATCATGTATTATTCTAACTAGAAAAAACATATTTGGGTCTATTATTGGGCTCACTTAACAAAATAAAATATTTTACTCATTCTTTACTGAACTCACAAACCCTTGAAACTCAATGCGAGTTAGCTGAGGGGAGACATATCTAGTCATGTAAATACAGCATGCAATAATACTGTTTAAGACCCTAAACAAATCAAACAATCTCTCAAAACAGCACTTTGATGAAGTTTTTCCCCTTTTCTTTTCTAGCCTACTAGTTTTCATTTCTATGTTACTACCCCCACCCCACCCTCACCCCCCATTTCCCAGTCTCCCCACAGTCTACACTTGAGAGGTTAAACAAATAACCACAATACAGAGTGCTTTAAAACCCAACACTGCAAGTACAGTTCCGGTGTCTTCAGTGAGTCCCGTGGGATCAGTGGGCACGGAGCTCCATTGGCTTGCTTCCGCCTCCCTACTGCTTGAGACTCAACCACCTTGAGCTTAATGTTATATCATTTATCTAAATTGCAAGAGACGAACAAGCAATAATGAGTACACAGTTACACAAAAAATGAAATATTTTTTTATTTTAACAAGTGATAAAATTGAGACATACTTTAATCTCAATTTTATTACAGCACCCTTTATTTCCACCATGTATGCATTCTCTTTACAATTAGCTTTAGCAACACCCCCTCCCAACAACAGGTAAGAAAAAACAAAAAAGTAGAACAAATCATGTTTTTAATAATCATGCCAATGACACAGATGCAAAAGTAAAATAAAAATCTAGAAATTTTGGCACATTAGAAAAATTAAAGTCCTAAACAAGGCCAGTTTGCATAGATGCCAAAACTTGCATTCAGTTTTTTATTAGAATATTGTAATTATTATTTTTTTTTAAGTTTGCAGCAAATCAAATGTACAATATAAATGATTAGCTGTCCTGAAACACCAAATGGTTTAATGCATCAGTGGATTATAGTGATTTATCAATAAAAAATTWAATAAAACTTGAAGACAAGGKTTTTTTTTAATTATCTATGGGATAAAGGACTTGCATGAATTGGTTTTCTAAATATTTTAGTTTTTATGAGCACAGTTCATATTTATTACTGTAATAATAAAACAAATATTGCATTCAATGAATGTAAAAGTAAAGTTTTAAACTGAAAAGTATTGTTCCTTGCAGTTGAAAATCTTGCTTTTCTGACCTCCAGTGGTTGAAAGTTAAATAATTAGCAAAAACAATGCACTCTGCTTGKTTTTGTTTTTTGTCACTGATATGTCTTAAAGTTTCCATCAATGTCCTTTTTTGAAGTTATTAAAAAAAACTTTACTAAAATAAAATCCATAGCCACCTTTGAAAGAGTTGTTAATGTATTTTTGGGAGAATAAGTCATGTGTAAAATGTGTAAAAGATAAAAAATTGGCCACTTTACCCTTGGGAAAATAATCTTGACTGAAAAATAAGAAAATAAGTCTAGTTAATTTGTCGTCAATGTCATGGATAAAGAATCTACACATGAATAGTAATGACTACTCTGAAACATAACACAAAAGAATTATAAAATATGCATGGATCAAATAAAATCCATAAAAATGTTTATATTTTACCTTGTTTTCAGCAATGGCTACTAGTTTTGTGTCTTCATTATTTCAGATGTGGGTTCCACTTACTTTTTTCTTTTATTATATAAGCCACACCTAATGTTTTTAACAATGCTGCACACTTTTGATAACGTTCTCAATAAAAATAAACGAAATTACGGGTAAAGTTAATTTTCTATTTAGCAACAAATTAGTGTTTTGTTCAAAAGTATTTTGACAACTGGATGGAAACAGCCAATGTAAAGTGTGGTTAGAAGAGTAACATGGTACACTTCAGATTGAACAGAGGTGCATTTGACATGAACCTTGTGATCAAGGGTCAGTGAGACAATACTTTTCAGAAAGACAATAAAATAAAGTAAAAACTGGTTTAATCCTAAATCTTTCCTTGTTTAAACCTGTTAATTTAGTCACATTTTAGAGGGATCTTAGCAGTCTGATTAAGCACTACAAATACCTACAGAGAATATGATTATGGCACTGTTCAATTGTGTCTTTCACTGACATGATATAGATGATCCCTGTATAAAACTCACCTCAAAACACACACTTCATCATGAAGGGAGAGCTGGGCTCAGAGACTTTGGGCTCAGGAGAGAGCTAAATAGATGTTGGTGCTATACTTCTGATGCAAGGTATAACATCCATATTGGTTCAGGCCTTTTAAATCATAAATCACATCATCATTAGAAGACTGCTGAATAAAAAGGCACTTTGTCACATAACAGCAAAACATGTCAAATTCATCAGAAATCAAGTTGCAAACCTATTTTTTTTAATTTACCCTTTCAATTTTAGTTTGACTAGGATCTGCAATTATTTGTTCACATCCCTTCTTACAGGCTAACCAATGCCATCACATTAGCAACAATTCTCACAGAGGAAAAAAAAAAGAGTGAAATACTTTACCTTTTCTTCAAGTTGATTGAAAATGAACTCTATGACCACATCATCCTCAAAGCCCAGAATCTCTGTCACACGTTGGGTAATCCATGGTTTGATGACCTCTAGGTTCACTTTGGTCATGTCCACCTAAGGATGAAGCACATGAGTAAAAACAAAGATTAAAAAGGGAAAAGCACACTTCAAGGCTGATAAAGCAGCTGTGTGAAGCTGACACCCCACCCACGTCAAAAAATCCATCAAATAGTCAGAATCGTTAGTGCTCCGTTTGTGCMGTTCAAAGTGTCGTTTGTGCCGTTTTGGTTTCTGAGATATTAAATATTATATTTTTTGGTCATCCAGAGTTAACCATCACCCCATATCGCTCCAAAACCTAACCAAAGTGGGCTAGGTCGTTAGTGCTCCGTTTGTGCAGGTTTGTGCAGTAAAAACTGTCGTTTGTGCAGCTTTTGTTTTCGAGATATTAGCAGTTATAAATTCGGCCGATGACGTCACCATTTCGGAGCDTGCTGRGGGGACGATGATGTCATCGCGTTAAAGTAAAAACTTGTAATATCTCCAAAACTGTAACAGCACAAACGCTCATTTCTACTGCACTAAGCTGCACAAACGAAGCACAAAAAAAGTATACTGTTTTGGTTAATTTCGGAGGTTGCTGGGGGGATGGTGACATCATAATGAGCTAAAGACATAATGCTTAATATCTCAAAAACTACAACAGCACAAACGCTCATTTTAGCTGCACAAACCTGCACAAACGAAGCACTAACCAATCCGCTTACTTGTTTGGATTTTTTGTGTGGGTGGGGTGTCAGCTTCACACAGCTTGATAAAGCTTATCATACTAATTTCTTAAAGCCTTGAATAATAATAATGATGATAATGATAATAATAATATTCAGAAATACCATGTACAATTAATAATTATTATACCTATTAAAAATAAACGCAAGAAATTAGAATACATAGAGGAGAAAAAGCACATTAATGAGAAGGTGGGTGAACTGGTTTATACTAGTGTTTACAAACGTGTCTTTAAGAACATGTTTTGTCTGAAAAAAGGAAACAWATGTCTTGAAATTAGTCAACATGGTAAACTATTAAAAAATAAAATAATAATAATTAAAAAACAATCACCAGTAACAAGGTATATCCACACATTACAAAGTGTGCATCTCTTACACAAAATATTTGATTTAGCGGTTCATACCTTCTTGTCCAGACATTCTGCGAATTTCAGCTGCTTCAGGAGTTTCTTCTGTTTGTTGCTGAACCGGTTGTCTTGCTCCGCACTCGTACCCTAAAATAAAACATTAATTGAAGCGGTCAATCCGGGACACGACATACTGAAGCTAACCTGAAAACGGTGATAGGCTAGGCTAGGCTAGGCTAATATTAGCCACATGTTTCAAGCTATAATAAGTAAGTAAATAAGTAAAATGTATTTGTATAGGACCTCATAGTTATAAAATTGCAAAGTGCCTCACAAGAACAGGCAAAATAAAAAAAACATCACTTTCAGTCATAAAAGTACAAGTAAAAACAAGATGAATACACATAATTTAAGTTAACTAAACGCCTGTTTGTAATAATAAGCACTTACTCATTAATACCACTATTCAATACAGCTAAACGTCAATTTCAGATTAAATGACCGCAATGTTTATAATGGTCGTGACTAGCTTGATAAACCAGGCGCCATCTTATGCCAAGCAAGGCCGAATACCTTAGCCACAATGGCTCGTCTATTTCCTGAGAGTGTCTGCAAATCAACCCGAAAAAACGATGCTAGGTTGGAAATAGCACATATCACGTACTCGCAAAATCATAAACATAATTTCCATAAATATAAASGAAACCATTGAACAGCTATGTTGAAAAAAATGTTGAGTAAAATCTAGGATTGCTGAACACCAGTTGWTAGACGGAGCCATAACCACACCGCGTCGCACGGCATCATATGGCCCTGTAGACCAAAGCTGTTTACCGCATATTTATGACTTAAACAAATACTATTTCAACATGCAATATCATAAGAAGGWGCCTCGGTATGTGGTATAGGTTTTTAAATTCTTACGCGGAAGAATCCCGCGTCCATCCTCGGTGAAAATTGATTGTTTCAGGCGCAGCGGAGAAAGAGGTGCGTCGGCCCGGAGAAGCTCGAGTGGTAGCAGCCCGCGCCGGATGAAGGGTGCGCCCCCACAGGAAGTAAGGAGTACTGCACCTACTGTAAAAACCTAAAGATTTTTTTTTTACTCACTTTTAGTCAATAAATTTAACAAATTTACACTCACTTGCTTTTATTCAATTTATATCTCCTTATCTCACCCGTATTTCTGTCAGTGTAACAGAAATATAATAATGAATGTGTGAAATTAAGAGCATTGGCTGATAAATTTTATTTTTACATGTCAGGTGGTTTCATACAACCTTTAGTTATTTCTTGATCATGAATCTATATATGTAAAACAAAGTATGACTTAATTCTGTAAATATTTTTTTCAAACAAAAACTTTTTTTTCCATTTTACTTATGCTAAATCCTTTATAATCATTAGTACAATATATGTACACTGCATTGGTAAACAGAACATTTACATTCAGATAATATTTAAGCTAATATTTATTTTTACTTTTAATCAAAGTGACACTGCTTTAAAAGCAGATTGAATAAAGGCTTTGTGTTAAATGCCAGAGTATGAGTGTTTTTTTTTTCATTTTGTAGACTCTTGTATATTACAAAACGATGTTTTATRAGACATGTAGAATATAGAGTATTTACAATTCAGAGTGATTCCAGATTACTTTGTTTTTCCAATTGTGCTGCTGCTCCATATTGTTATACATTGTTACAGAGGGTTGTGACCAGAATAACATGATATGAAATAATGAAATCTCCCAGAATCCAAAAAATATTTTTTTCAACAAGACAACCTTTTTGTTTGTAAAATGCTGCTTATAACAAATAAATACAACTAAACTCAAGATTTAACAGTATATGATTCTGTGAAAAAGACTGAAAAATGTAGATGTTGTGTAAATGTTGTCTAACTGTCTGTTAAAAAATTCTGACTGAAAACTCTTTATTTACAGTTCATCCCTGGAAGATTAATCAGCCAAAAAAAAAAAAAAAAACCACAGGATACTGGCTGACGCTTAATATAAATCAAATGAGAGAAAACCGTTGGTAAAAACAGACCGAAAAAATAAATCCATGAGTGATTCTTGCATCAGAAAGTTTTGCTAGCTGACTGGAAGCCCCTCTCTGGTCCTCTTTTCTCGAACAGAGCTCAGCATATCTGACACCAGCTCCTCGAGCCCGAAGGCCGGTTTCCAGTCCCAGTCCCTCCTGGCGTTGGAGTCATCGATTCTCACGGGCCAGCTGTCTGCTGCAAAAGGACAAGGAAAATGGTGACAACCAAAACTGATGTTTTTAGGTATGAATGACCTTGGTGTTAGTTCATACCAATTGTCTGGCGCACAGAATCTGGATTGTAGGTGACCTTAAGGTGCGGGAGATGTTTGCGGATCTCTTGGGCCAACTCCTCTGGGGTGAAGCTCATGGCAGCAATGTTATAGGTGCGCAACGACAGCCGGCACTCAGGGGTCTGCATGAACTCTACAGTGGCACGATGGCAGTCGGAGATGTGCATCATGGGAAGCCGGGTGTCTGGTCGCAAGTAGCACATGTGGTGGCCTGTGCTGAGAGCATCGTGGAAGATTTGAACCGCATAATCTGTGAAAGAAAAGGTTCACAGATATTGATTAGATGATTATGATGTARTTGCAAATTAAAGGCGTGGCAGTCCTTGAAGGAATGCACATCCCCTGCACTCAGAGTATTTGTTGGGGACAATGTTAAACTGCCATCACAACAAATTTTACATCAATATTTGTAAAATTAACTGAGTCATAGCCTGCTTTTTGTTCTAAAAGTTCAGCTGGCTGTGGCAGACATCTTGCATTAGGCTGACTCTGAGAGATAAACAGCTGGAGACATACATCCAGTGATTACTTTCTGTGAATTTCATGATTATCTGCTTAGTGGTTCATGAGATATTTTGCTAACAGATATGCACAAAGACATTTGCAAAAAAAAAAGAAGAATATTCATTGCTTTTCAGCAGCAGCTGGTAAATATACAGCAATGTGAGGTGAAAAATACCCGTCGTTCCTCCTCCAGGAGGTGTGTTGGCTGAAATCACTCCAGGGTAACGCAGGCAGCGGAAGTCCAATCCGTATTTATGATGAAGATACTGCAGGAAAAATCAAACCTTTAATGGTAACGACTGTAAATTTTGTTCTGCCATCATCGTTGTAACATCTTACCTCCCCCATCAGCTCTCCGTGCACTTTAGAGACACCATAGATGGTCCTCGGGCGCTGCACGCAAAGGTCAGGGGCCGGGTCACGAGGAGAAGAGGGTCCAAACGCTCCGATGGTGCTGGGGACGAAAAGGCGAAGGCAGTTCTCCAGAGCCAAGTCCAGAACATTATGCAGACCTGGATGAGCAACAGAAGCTCAGACAGGAGCAGCTTCAAACCAGCTTAAAACATCCATGGTACAGAAAYGGCTTATTAAACACAGACCTGTGATGTTAATCTTCCGCGCTAAAGCTATGTTAGCTTCACCCACGGCACTGAGCAAAGCGCTGTAGTGAATCAGCCAAGTTATACGATTATTTATTATCAGTTCTCGGAGGTGTTTATAGTCCAGAACGTCAGCATACACAAATGGGCCTGAAAAGTAAATACAGAGATGTGACAGAAATTAAAAGCATAGTTCATACAGTCAAAGCAACAAAAAAAAAAAAAAAACTGCTGTTATTTTTGAATTTTGTTTTGGCCTACCACTGGTGTAAACATGAGGTGGAGGCTTCTTGATGTCTGACAGGATCACATTCTCTGTCCCGTACTGGTTCCTGGATATTAATACACATACAACGGCATTCAAATGTCAAACAAGTTCACCGACTTTATTTAYGTAAAACTCACCTTAACATCTGAGCGAGTCCCACACCTAACTGCCCCAGACCACCTGTACACAGACAAACCTCTATTTTATTCATGTCCAAATGAATATGCATGAAGTTTTAGGTGGATCAATATTTAAAAATTACAAATACAAAATAAAATATAGGTTACTGTTTGTCCCAAGGCTTTATTCCAGAACAAAAATGTCCCTCAAGGCTATTATTCCCCCTCTTTTATGTGACTAACACTGTCTGTACACACACTATTGTGGTGAGTCTAAATGGGGGTCCTATAGCAAGTGCACTATGAAAACAATGTGGAAAGGGCAGCACAGCTGTAGCTTTTTGTTCTTTTTCTCTTCAATTTTCTTTATGTAACAAGAATCTACGTGACTGTCACAGGAAGTGCTCATCAGAGAGGCACTCGGCTTTTATTGCAACCACACAAAATAAACAAAACAAGACATTGGCAACTTCAGATGTTTAAGAAACAGCAGAAAATAGTTCATCCGACAGAGGTAACTATAAAACACTGAGTGTTATTTCACCTGTGATAAGGACACGGGGGTTCTCCTCGGGACAGTGTACGCTGAGGTTCCCCTGACTGTTCCACCTGATCGTCTGCCTGGTTGACGAACTGAAACTGCGACTGGGTCGGTTCTGCGCACTGCTGAGACAACCACGACAAAACAGGCCCAGTGGCGCCACAGAGGGCCCACGCACCAGACCACCCAGCTGCATGTCTAACGCAAGCCCTTAGGAAAAGTCATCATATCGAAATTATTACATTTACACCTGGAAAATAATCAGTGTTGCGCAAATTTTGTGTATAACAAAAGAAAATCTTTTACCTTGAAGCTTTTTTTTAAAATTCAAACCCAACGGATGAAACACAGTAAATCCACAACTAGTCCACTAAAACTAAACTATGAAAAAAGAGCTTGCAAGACAACATTTAAATGTCTGATAATATTACCATTAGCCACTGGATAAGTACGCAGGTGGAGAGTCATGCTGGGCTACTGTACATGGTTCTTGTCCACTTTGTGTRATCACCACAGGCTGTGGCTCTTGACTGGACAGGACTACAGTCTCCAGCGTGCAGCGCTCAGTGTGTGCAAACATGCAGACTTGCTGTGCACAGGGATTTTTATTGTCAGAATTGTTTAGCTGAGCTTAACAGGACTGGGAGGTGTGTCAGTTATATAGGCTTCTTCTATTGAAAATACCGTATTAGTCACTGTTGTCGTTTTACTGAGCACAAAGAAATAATGTCTTTGGCTAGCCTTACAACTTCAGAAAGACAATAAAATACTGTGTACTTAACACGACTACTACACTTTAAATCCCCGTCAGAATACTCCTTAAAAATGACACAAAACAATTTTCTTTCAATAGTATATATTTTATAAAAATGTAAAAAAAATGACTGTACATTAAAATACATGCAACACATCAACAGTATTCCTTTAAATGTTAGCTGAGCTTCTACTGAACTGTAGTAGCATCGGATTGCGTCACCCTAACCCACTCAACCACCATGTTCCTTATTTCCTCCTGAACTTCCTCCAGGTGACGAGCCTGCTGGGTCCACCTCAGGAAAAACCCTGAAAGCAAAGCAGAAACGTTGAGTGGGTATCACCGCTTATAGGCATTTTTAGAAAAGAAAGCCATTCTTGTGTTTAAATCTTAGTTATTGAGGCCATTTTGAATAGGACTGACTCCAAACATATTCAGTTATAGATGTACGTCCAATGGTTTCTTTCTGAGAGTTTCATTACAATCTGTTTCACGAGATACACTACCTGGCCAAAAAAAAAGTTACCACCTGGMTTTAACTAAGCAAATAGGTACGAGCCACCTGTTGTATAATTATTGCATGGGCGATTATTTTCCAGCTGGCAACAAGTAATTTAACCCCAACTGGTRCAACAAGTTGCTTCTCATTTCTTAAAGGGGAAATATTATGTGTTTCTCAGCCATACATTTAAATACTATACCATATTAAAGTATCTATGTCACCTTTAGTTGTTATTAAAATGCTGTTTTTATGTTTAAATAGAAAATAAACTTATCTTCTCCTCACTTCCTCTTCTAAACACATTGAAATTGGCCTCTGTCTCTTTAAGAACCACATTCCGCTTCTGTCCCGCCCATTTCAGCGCGGGGGGTTCGCGCACGCGCCATGATGCACTTTACTTGGCATCTGAACATACATTTCTTCAAAGGTATTTTGAATCTGAAAAGAGCTTCACTGAGTGAGAAGTAGTGGAGCTCAGCAGACAGTTTCACTTTCAGTTTCACCCGCTGTTTGCTTTGTTGCTGCCGAGAGCCTGCAGCAGTTATGGGCAGGATGTGTGTGTGTGTGTGTG